TTCTCAGAACAGAGAGGTTGAAGAAGTATGCTTTGTGGTGTTTTCCTTGTTCTATGTAGTCATCCTTCTGGGAAATTTCCTCATCATGCTGACAGTCTGTGTGGGAAACCTATTTAAGTTCCCTATGTATTTTTTTCTCAACTACTTGTCTTTTGTGGACATTTGCTACTCTTCTATCATAGCGCCTAAGATGATTGCAGACCTGTTAGTCAAGACAAAAAGGATCTCGTATGTGGGGTGCATGATTCAACTCTTTGCCACACATTTCTTTGGTTGCACAGAGATCTTCATCCTTACTGTGATGGCCTATGACCGCTATGTGGCCATCTGCAAGCCCCTCCACTACATGACCATCATGGACCGGGACAGATGCAATATCATGCTGCTGGGGGCCTGGGTGGGTGGCTTCATCCACTCCTTGATCCAAGTGGCTCTGGTAGTCCAGCTCCCCTTCTGTGGACCCAATGAGATTGATCACTACTTCTGTGATGTGCACCCTGTGCTGAAACTTGCCTGCACAGACACATATGTTGTTGGTGTAGTTGTGACAGCCAACAGTGGCACTATCGCCCTGGGGAGCTTTGTGATTCTGCTCTTCTCCTATACTGTCATCCTGTTGTCCCTGAGAAAGCAGTCAGCAGAAGGCAGGCGCAAAGCTCTCTCCACCTGTGGCTCACACATCGCTGTGGTCATCATCTTCTTTGGTCCCTGCACGTTCATGTATATGCGACCAGATATTACCTTCCCAGAGGACAAGATGATAGCTCTATTCTACACCATTATCACACCCATGTTAAATCCTCTGATTTACACCCTGAGAAATGCAGAAGTAAAGAATGCAATGAAGAAACTCTGGACCAGGAAAGTTTTATAGGAATCTAATAGTAAATAGATGGGAGTCCCAATTTAAGATAAATGATGGTAAATTGTCTCATGTACAATGGAGACTGCACTAACAATCTCACAGCGATTTTTTGGAACAAAAGAAAGATTGACATATTCTTGTGAAATAAGGTATTATTAATCATTATTATTATGATTGTTCTAATATTTCATAACCTGATATTTTTCTGAATATTAATACCAGAGAAAACTTATTAAATTTAGAAGCTTAATGAAGTCATATGTCTTCTTCTCCACTTCCAAATTTTGGGCATTTTTCTTTAAAGAATGAGAGTTTACTCTGAAGTTTTAAGAATGTTTTCTAGAGTTTAGAATAGAAATCAGTACATGTCAACACTCAGTATGTTTATATTGCATGGATGAATTAAACATGAAAAAGAGAGAGAAAAACATTCTGGCATAAGTCTTACAAAGCAGTGAAAGCTAAACCTGAGGTTTGGATGGAAGTGGTGGTATGCATAAAATATAAAAGATTTACCACAGATTTAAAGAACAAAAGAAATTCCAGTTTCTGATTGTCTTATGAGAGAATATTTTCCCTTTATGTTTCGCTCATTTTCCTTATAAAAAAATGGTGGGAAAACAACTATGATTTCTTTTTAAATTGTAATTTACCATTAATATATTTCTACCAGATTATAATTTTTGCTGGTAGTAAATGCCTGCATCCCAGTTCAATGTAAACTAACTAATGAAAACAAGTACAAGCTGCACTATGGAAAAACAGGCAAATGGACTCACTCAATAGACTACAATGGGCAGAAAGGCATCACTGGAAATATCATGTTCTTCCAAAGTTTGAACTGTAAGAAGATAAAGACTGACAGACTCATTACCATCAAAGACCAAGAAGTGGAGCATGTGGAATAGTATTCTAGTTTCCATCAGTGAATTTATAAACTTGTCCTTGTTCACAAAGTGCCTCCATGTCAATTCCCATAAGAGGGGCACAGAGAGTCTCCCCTTATCTCCTTGGAAAGCGATGACTGAGAATCATGAGAACTCAGATTTTCCCAATTCAGTGGGGTGATTCTGGTGAGCAACACCATTTTGTTTCATAGATGTATGCTCCCAACATGGCTGCCAACTCTATACTTTTATAATCGTAAGGTTAATAGATGCAAGACCTTTCACTGATGAGAGACTTCATTGGTGAAAATAAATGAAAATACCATTCATTTTCCAGATGATTTAAATTCATTAACTTCATAGTGGAAATCAGCAAAAATGAGTCTCCCTGTAGCTGCTAACCAGTGGTTATATCTGAAATAGCATGCTGTGTTTTAAACATGTCTCCAAGTGCTACTCAATTGAATATGTAAAGATACTTTCCATAAACATTTTATATGTCTTCCCTTTCTCATTAAAACACACCCAGGAAATTCAAACATTTATCACATGTCTGAGTCTCCAGAATTTCATAGTTACTGAGAGAGAATTACTCATATTGACAGTGTGAGTTGTGACCTGATCATGCTGGTGAGTAGGGGTGTGTGTGTGTGTGTGTGTGTGTGTGTGTGTGTGTGTGTGTTAGGTTAATGAAACACTATAATTTTAGACAAATCTTCAAAATAATCTTAATACTGCACTTTCAGTAAAAAACAATCTGCAAATTAGGAGCAATAGTAGGTAGTGAGAGACATAAATACTAGACTTCCATAACAGTCAAAGGCTCAAACATTACAAGTAAGTAACACAAAATTTCAATTCAAAAAAGGCAAAAAACACATGATCAAGAATCAAAAGGTTATAGTAGGAATAAATCAAAAGGTTATAGTTTTGGAATAACTTGTTAGTCCACATTATTGAGTTGGCTGATCAATATATAACAAGGTCATTCTGTGGAATTGAGGATTCTGAAACACATTTTTGAATTAATAAACCTCCAGTGTATTTAGTTTAACATATTCAGAAAGGAAAAGTACAAAATACCAAGCTAGAGATAAAAGAGATGAGGAATAGCATGTAATCTTGATTGTGTACAGAAAGGTCATACATGGGATAACACTTAGAAATTGAGATGTGTCACCATTGGGTAGATTTCATTTGCTTCTTATTTGTTGATAAATTATAAGAAGAGCTTTTTAAAGAGGTAAATATAACTAATGTTCTAACAAACTTCTGAAGGAATGTTTTCTTTAGGGAGAAAATAAATAGCAAATTTTCACAAGAAGAAAATTTAATCTTTCCTGGAGATGTGGCCTACAGACACATCCATAACAGGCTTGCTAAACAAACCCACCAGAATTAGATATCATATTCCACCTAGTCAGAGACATTTCTCTTCATCCTCATGATCCTGAACTGGATATCCCCTAAACAGTCATTGTCACTAGTTGATATCAAAATTAAATCCTGACATGAAGTGAAGTTGTCTTTCTTATCTCCTTTTAAATGTGTTTCATTATATTTCTACCTCACCTTCTGTTTAACTTCCCCCAATTATTTAGGCAGTACAGATCAGGGTCTCTTGGAACAAAGAAATTATCAGTGAACTCTTCATCATTCTATTTCTGCAAATATACTCCCCACTTTAAACATGGATCCCTATTGCTGATAGGACAGTGACACTTTATGTGTGTGCAATTCTGTTTCACAGGAAAATGTCAAGTCAGTTTTTCTCATATTTATAAATCTGTTGAACCCAAAATTCAATTCCTCAGTGCATCCTGTGATAACAAATGACCCTAGATGTCCTCAGAGACACCACCCCAGTCATAACACTGGGGGATTCCTTAATAGATTAAGGAAACACTTCAATGGACCAAAGATGATGTTGCCCTATGCCCCATGACTCAGGCAGTTATACCTGCTTCCTAAACTCATCATCACTTCTCCCTATTAAGAGGTATTTCATGAGTGAAAATGATACTATTTTTCATTTTATTTTGGTGGGAAACCTCCAAATACACCCTAAATACTAAGTTGTGAGGAGTAACAAAATGCATACCAGCAATGTCCATCTCTTTAGCTGTGTGCCTTCTGAAACTCACACCTTCCCACAGATGGGAGATTTTCCATGTTGCACATTTTCAAATGTATTAATTTGTAGAGTCATGAATGCTTTATTCAAGGGGGGTATAAATATAGTCATGAAATAGCATGTATACTTTGAAAAAAGATTTATCAGTCAATTTGAAACTCTGGTTCCTGACAGTGTCAATAGGTTAGGCTTTCCCATGCTCAGAACCTGAGAAACTGCTCAGAGTGATACCCCAAAGGGGACTGTCACCTGCACATGGTGAAGCAGAAAATTCCCAAACAAACTGTGAGCACTTCAAGGAAGTGAACAGGGCTTGAGCACATGTTTGCCTCACTGTGGGAACACCCACTTTCTATGTGATAGCCTCCAGGTAATAGTCTCCAGGTGCTGCTGAAAGGGGAGATGTGAATTGTTGATGCTGCCCGGTAAGATTCAGTAGCCACAAAACACTTTCATGCTATTCCCACCTGTAATCCATGTTTTATAACCTCACAGTTTTCTCTTATGTTTAGCAGGTAGGTATACTCAGTGAACACAAAAAATACACCAAAAGCAAATAAGAATGAATGATGACAACATCTACACAGTGCAGTGTGAATTGTGAAATTGCATCGAACTGTATAAATTTAGAAACAAGAATTTTTAAGGTAAAGAATAAACATGCAACAACATTTCTGGTATTTTAGCATTACTCTATGTCCTTTATTGCAAAGGTGCCTAAAACCATGGATGTGCTTGGTCCTTATACCTGCGACAGGTGTTTCAGTGAAGATACGCTTCCTAGAGTAGGACACAACTGCCAAACTATGCAGCAGTCTTCACAAGTTTCCCTGAATAAGGTGCTGTCATGCCCAATATATCTGGGATAATAAGGAACAGCAAGTTCCAGAATGTCAGACGTGTATTCTAGATGTCAGAGCAGGGAGGGCTGTGGAGAGCAACTCTTATACTTCCTATGTAGAAAGTGTCCTAGAATAAAGTACCATAAAGAGAGAGAAGTTCTTTCTCTCTTCAAGATGCCACACCACCTTCATGCACCCCACTTGCTGAGTCCTCCACATTCACGATTTGGGGCAGGGAATGAGATCCTCCAGAGTAGGCCACCCCAGAGCCCTCATTTCCTGTCAAGCCACTTGTCTCGGCACCAAACCTTCCTCATGGCATTCTTCATGTCAGTGTTCCTCAGTGTGTAGATGAGGGGGTTGAACATGGGTGCAATCATGGTGTAAAACAGGGCGAACACCTTGTCGTTGCTCACAGAATCCACCGTGGGCACGTAGGTGAAGATGAGGGGCAGGAAGAACATGAGCACCACGGTGATGTGCGAGCCGCAGGTGGAGAGGGCTTTGCGGCGTCCCTGCGAGGAGTGGGCTCTCAGGCTGGACAGGATGATGATGTAGGAAATCAGCAAGACAACGAATGTCAAAATGGACATTAGCCCCGTCGTGGTAATGATGGCAATAACCCACACGTGTGTGTCGGTACAGGCCAGCTTCAACAAGGGGAATATATCACAGAAGTAGTGGTCTATCTGATTCGGGCCACAGAAGGGAAGTTCAATAACAACCATTACTTGCATGAATGAATGCAAAAATGCTCCAATAACAGAGACCACCACGAGGACATAGCACACCTGCCGGCTCATGATGAGCATGTAGTGAAGGGGTCTGCAGATGGCAGCATAGCGGTCATAGGCCATGGCCACCAAGATGAAGATTTCGGTGGCACCAAAGAAGTGGGAATAAAACAGCTGGGCCATGCAGTTGTTGAAGGAGATGGTCTTCTGCTGGGCCAGTAAGTCTGTGATCAATTTGGGGCCCACAGTGGTGGTGAAGCAGACATCCATGAGGGACAGATAGCTGAGGAAAAAGTACATGGGCTGCTCACTGAGGCGGCTCCCCCTGATAGTGATAAGAATGAGTAGGTTTCCAGAGAGAATTGCAAAATAGCAAAGTGAGAAAAACACAAAGCAAGCAATCTTTGCATCCACATCTTTAAAAAAACCCAGGAGGATAAATTCTGTGACATTTCCATGTCCCATTGCTTTGTGAGTGTTATCTGAGAGAGAATTCAATACACTTTAAACTCTCAACTTTTGCATTTATCAATTTTAAAAACCATTCATCATTCAATGAATACATATTGATTGGTTATTAGAGTGCAATCATTATTTGGTTAACAGCACAGCAGTGTACATCACACATGCAATCTCTACTCAGAAGTAGAGTACAAGTTATGACAATATTTACATAGTAACAAGAATATCCCAAATAATCAAAACTGAAAGGATAAATTCCAATGTTGCAAACTTGAGATGAACAACAGAATGAATGATTAAAAGATGAATGGCTGTTTTTTTTTTCACATTAAAGATAAAATGAAATTTCACTATTTTCCCTAAGAGTGATTTTTTTAAACTCTTGTATGTATAAAATAGCAATATCTGCTCTTCAAGGACAGGAAGGTCACTAATTCTCAATTCCCAGTTATTTCTCTAGATGCTGAAAGTTCAGTAATGCTCATCTTTAAGTCCTGGACTCAGGTGACAATTTTGGAAAGTGCCTTTAGAAATTTTCACAAACCCCCCCCCAAAAAAAAAATGGAGATAATGAAAGAAAGACACAGATCTTTGGGGGAAAGTGTGTTCCAGGGATGCTTCCTAAGACTTTCATGACTTCCTGGAATTCACTTCATTTAGAGGTTTGCTCCCCAGTCTAACTTGGCAGCTCTCATCACCTCTGCCTGTAGTCACACCTCCTGGCACTTCCTTTTTTGGCTGCATCATTGGGCAGGGCAAACTGCATCCTGAGAGTCTTCACTCCATCTGTTTCACCACATTTTCTTTCTTTGAATTGAACCACTTTCTCATGCAGACAAGCCCTGGATAATTAAGTTAAAAAGAAAGTAATTTTTGGTGGAAAATATACTTCTCTTCCATCTTTTCTGTAATCTGATGCATCACAAAACTTCTAAACTCAAGCCTTTCAAAAAAAAAAAAAAAAAAAAAGAAAAATCTCTGCACAGTGATAAAAATCTGTCTGCCTGGTTGTTGAAGAGTTACAAGAATAGTTAAATAGCATCCTATTTAACTATAGGATGCTGAGGTCTTATGAGATTGTTTGAGAAAAATGCACAGTTGTCATACAATAACTTTTTTGCAAGGTCATGGACTTTTGATAACAATTCCATCCATGAACCCTGATATAATGCCTTATAGTCTATTTTCTTGCAAAATCTTTGAGAGTCACCATGTCACACAAGCAAAACTCCAGTTTCACTGGTTCTGGGCTATAGTGTAATTTATTTATAGATTCTTTTAATTAGGGCCTTCCAGTTGTGCGGGGGTTAAAAGTCTCAGCACTACCAAGCTATCTATCTCCAGTCACTGCAGGATGATTTTCTATCCCACCCAAGGAGCTAACACACATGGTGCAGCAGACCTCTCCTGTCTCACCTGCTGCTCCCTTCAACAGTGTACCTCAGTAGATCTTCCTGTTCTGCTCCCCACTCTGTCTCTGATGAATCCTCTCACCATGCCCACCTCTGGCCTGTACCCAAGTTATTGTATGCATAAATAGATTAATCTTAAAAAAGATTCTTTTAACTGTAAGCTATTAGTCCTTTAAATATAATTCCCTTTTTGAATATAGAGTTATGTTAAATGGTTAAAAATTCTGAAGTAAAAAGATATAGCATATATGTCCTTAGGTAAGAGCAATATAAAAAACATTCCAATTCTTCTTAAATTTTTCAGTACATTAAATAATTAAAACAAAATTTCTTAAAAATTGTGAAATTTTGGGTGTAAAATAAATAAATACTAAAATGTTGTGAAATTTGAAATGTTGATTGATTCCAAAAATTCAAAAACAGTTTCAGTAATCAGAATACTTAGAAAAGTTTTTTTAAAAAAGATAAGAAAAAAAAGGAAAACTATGCCTTTTCATAATTGAAGAAAATCATAAAATTATGTGATAAGAGATAACTAGATTTGTACATAAACACGTTCATATATTGAAATTTATTGTTGCTTAAACACATATATATGTTGAAATTTAATGTTGCAGAAAAATTTCAAGTTAATGTGAAGTAATGACTCCACAACTAATCTGAGATATTTGATTCCTTCTCTGAAGGATAAAAAATACCTCACAACTTAGAAAAATTACATAAGATGGTTGAATGATAAAAAAGTACCAAACAAACCTGGAAAAAAACACTCAAGAAATATTTTGAATGGATATCTATCTTAGAGTGGTAGGAGGGAAGTTTAACACAACTTTGCGCAACAAAAGTCATAAAGTATATATAAATACATTTAAAATTTCTATATGACAAAAATCCACGTGACAAAGTGTTTTCAGAAGTAGTAAAAGGAAGTAAATATTTAAATGCTACAGATCAATAACTTAAAGTTAAGTAACCCCATGTTCTAAAAGAGCAAAACATTTGAGTAGACGATACACAGAGAGGACATTGTCACTAACCAAGAGCATATGTACAATTGAAATCAGGAATATGCAAATTAAACAATGAGATATTATTACCAGTCATCAATATATAAAACTAAAATCAAAAAAGCAAATTTGAATAAAATTTGATGAATAACCCAGCAAAACTAGCCCAGATATCCAGGGCAGGTTCATTCACATTTGGAAAATGGAAACCGTCTAAAGACATGACAATAATAGAATAGATGCAAGATGTGGTATTTTTATTATGGAAAACTAAGCAGAAATTCAAATGTTGGATCTAGATAGCACATCTACCATGAATAGATTACTAAGATATATTTGTCACCAGAAAATATAATAAATACACAGAGATATCACAGCATGATAACTTGTCTGTTTTAAAATATTTCCCACTCCAAAACTACCACACATTTTTTCCGAATACATCCATGCTTATAATGTATAGGAAAATGTGTGGAAGGAAACATCAATCTCTCAGAAACTGAGAGGGTGATAGCCAAAGGGGATTTTTAGTGTTTACAATATTTTGACTCCTTTTTAAAAATGTTTATATTTCAGTGTTGCTTCTGTAACTAAAGGTAGTGACTTTTGACATTTTTTTTTTCTGAGTTTGGTTTTCAACTCACCATTAAAAGATTTCATCACTACATCACTGTCTTTTGTAGTGCTTTTAGTATTCAAATAAATTTCAAGATCATCTGTTAAATCCAATAACTCCTACTACTGAAGTGTCAGGTTGAAAGTCTATTCCTTTTCATGACTCCTTGTTTTGCTGAACATTAACTTTCATTTAAGTTTTAATGGTAGGAAACAATAAATGTATAACAGAGGATACTAAATAATCAGGATGTACTACCTGAAAGGATAACAGCCTCTGATATGTGAACACTAAGTAACAATGACTCTGTAAGTGTACATGCAACAGCAATGCCCCCTATTTGTTGGACACCATAGCAATGAACTTGACATGTGTGGACTTAATCCCAAAGCTACCATTTTAAAACTTCTGATAACCTGAAATCTCCATCTCTGCTGCTAGAAATTTATTAAGGAAATTTACACCGTACATCCTGAACAGGGTGGGTAGTCAGACTCCATTGTTAACCCAGCCTCACCTCATCTGCCATAAAGAAATGAAAAAGGAAAAAATGAGAAGAAAAAAAAAAAAAAAAACCCTTAACTCCTAATTTCCAGGGTCAATTTGGTTTACTTATCACACAGGAAAATTTTCTTAGAAAACAATAATGGCTAATACGCAATTCCTAACATATCTGCAAAATTGTAGCTACAAAAATTGTAACTACAAGGAAAACAGATTCTGTGGTGGGTGACAGTGATCTAGTTAGACTAAATAAACTCCAAAATATGCCTCATAACTTAGCTGTTGCATAACCTTGAACAAGTTACATGCTCGCTGAGTCCTGGTCTTTTCATTTATTTTTAATCTATAAAAACAAAACGTAATCATTCCTATCACATAGGATTCTGTGAAAAGGTCCATATGAAAAATTCAGGTGTAGATGTGCATTAACACACTGCATGAGCTAACAAAACAAAAGCTCTTCTTTTTACATTTTAAAAAAGACAAGTCTATTAGAAAAAGGAGTAGGCAAGAGAGCTTTGTTTTGCCAGTGCAAAAATTGTACTGATAGAATGTTCTTTTTAAGAGGGGTTCATGCCTTTGTGAAATTATTATCTATTGTTAAATTACTGCTTGGGTGTGACAAGGTTGAGTCATAAAAACCAGTGATTCTCTTTAATGGTCCTCAACCTACATTTCCCCACCTTTGGTCTGTGCCTCATAATTAATCTTAAAAGGACTGATAATCTGTAAATGTTTTACCAATGGTAAACAAAGGAAACTGAGCGAAAACATTTCTATCAGTGAATTTAACATGCCTCTAAATATAGATTTCTCCAGAAGCCATAAAATATTTTCACAACTCTACTGAAAATGCCAAACTAACTACTGGCTGTGAAGTGGGGTAATAGGATTTATCATTGCACAGATGGCAGAACTGAAATCAAGTAAAATTTATTTATGAAGACTTCACTGTCCTACAAAAAAATAATCTTTTTAATTAAGAATAGTTGAATCAAATACTTCTAAAATAATAACCTTATTCCTACATTCTGCTTAGGTCATATCATACTTTTGTGTTTTGGATGATCTACCTTTGCAAAATAAATAGACATCCAACTTAATCTCCTATTATGAATGCAGAAATTTTCTTCCATCCTACCACATTTATTTCAAATGCCAGTAATTATTGCAAAGTATTATAAACCTATGATACAGTAAAGTAGGTTATGAAGCTTCTTGTCTTCATCTGTCACTCCATGATTATGTGATTAAGGAAACTGTCTTTTAATTTTTATGGGTTTGCTCTTAACAAAATGCAGAAATATGGCTTTTTGAATCCTTTAGCTGAAGAAACCAGCTATGAAAACAAGTGCCACAATAAATCATTCATCAACCAAGATCAAATGCATCAACTAATTTTCTATAATTTTCTTAATCTCTTTATTCCACTTATTAACTTATTCAATTATTTTATTTTTTTCC